TAGTTTAACCGAGAATTGGCCTTTTCACAAACCTTTTTTGTTAATGCGAGGCAAGGAAAACTGCAAAACTTAAGTCAAAATTTTCTAACGATGTGACTCGTGACATCATTTGTATCTTTCTAACTCTGAGTAAAAATTTTCATTTTTTCTCAATTTTTCAGCCTTCTTCGTTGCTTACTCTCTCCGTCAATGTAAATACTTAGTATCTTTCTATAGAATCACATTCCTGTTACTTCAGTTTCTCTTCCCCTGTAGAAAGATTGATCAGCATTCACTACTCTACCAGCATAACAATCCTGTACTCATTTTAAAAGGTAATTCTTCCGTGTCTTCAGCATAAATTTATATACAAATCTTAAACGTATCTGAAAGAATAGAATTCTGAAACGTTATGACGTCATCTCTTTAGAAATGTGCGTAAAAGACAAATTGCTGCGATATATTTGGTAGCAACCACGCCGACATGCATTGGACTTAAGACAAGGCAGCTATATAAAAAGGACGAACACGTGTGATTTTCCCTTTTATATAAAATGTACGCGATTTTATTCCAGGACTGGATAAGCAATGTCAAAATTTGAGCGCATAGATAAGGAGTGACCAGTTATTTGACGTTTACTGCCTTTGATGTTTGTAGATTTTATATATAAATGCAGTACATGAGAAATGTTGAAAGGTGTACTCCTTCTAGAATATTCTAAATATATGTTAGCAGTTTATTTATGTAGGAAATTACTTAATTTTAATGCGTTATAGTATTATTAATCTATACTTAAATTTCTACTCTTTTTTATATATGGTTCTATCATACATCAATCAAATTAGTAAGTTTTATTGGTTACGATTATTTCCATTATCTTAATAATTACACAAAACCTATGTACATAGGCTGAGATTTTTACGCATTTTTTGCATAAGATATTCATTTGTTCCTCAAATTAGATGGAATAAAATAAATTTTACATGCACTACTATTATAAAAGTTGATATATATATATATATATATATATATATATATATATATATATATATATATATATATATATATATATATATGTATTATTGAAGAAATCTAACGCAGCACCAAACTGCAATACAAGAAACTCCTGGGTAATCCTAACCTAAAAGAAAAATATATGGATATATATATGTGAAAAGAAGATACAAGGCACACAATGAAAACTCGAAATGCGAGTCACTGAGAGATGATTTAGTGATATTAACAAACGACACCATCACAAAGGAGACAGGACGAAGAAGGTGAAACGAATAGATGACTGATGAGATTCTCGACACCATGGAAAGAAGACAGAAAACTCGGCCAAGTACAGAAAAGTATACTATGAAATAAGGACCAAATGCAGGCATGCTAAATAAGAATGGCTAAAAGAAAATATGAAGAAATAGAAAGATTGGATACTAGCAACAAAAGAGGCATGCACAATAAGACAACTTACAGAACAAGAGACATGCTCGTCAACAAGATGCCTGAAATCAAAGGATGGAACGCTCATACTAGAAAAGAAAAAAATCTTCACCGCTGGAGCGAGTATATTGGAGAACTCTTCAACGAAGTAAGGGAACAACCAGCAATACATAGAACAACCGACGGACCTGGAAGTTTTGAAATCTGAAGTAAAAGTCACGAAGGCCAAATTTAAAAGAAACAATGCAGCTAGACCAGACGGAATTGTAACGGAAATGCTGGCAACCTTAGATGACTTTGACATAGACAAGATGATCGAAATTACAAAAGAAATCTACAACAGTGGAGACATACCAAAGACCTCAGCAGATTTATTTTTGTAGCTATGCCGAAGAAAACAGGCGCAAACGATTACGAACACCACAGAATAATAAACCTAATGAACCACGTGACAAAACTCATCACCCGTATTCCAATGAACAGAGCGCGCAGCAAAATCAGATAAGACAAGAACAGTGCGGGTTCATTAAAGACACCGGAACAAGGAACGCGATATTCATGCTCCGAATGTTATCAGAAAGAGCGATATTGATGCAGAAGGACGTGTATATTCGGGAATGATATCAGAATAATCAAGAACAAATAATGGCAGCAACAGCGTGCATGCACATAGGGAACGGGTTCAGTGAATATACAAAAATAGAAAGAGGCGTAAGGAAAGTATGCGATTTCTCACCCGACCTGTTCAATCTACACAGCGAGGCAATTCTGAGAGAATTGGAAACCCTACCGTGATTTAGCATTGGCGTCCACAATCTTAACAACATAAGATATGCAGATGACATAATAGTGATAGCAGACACGTAAATGAAATTACAATATTTCCTACAGAATGTAGCGACGGAGAGTGAGAAGAACGGACTAAGCATAAACTACAAGAAGACGGTTGGCATGGTTGTCGGTAAGAGGATGAGCCCGGAATTTGATCTGAATGTCTGGAACACCAGAATCAAGCAGATGCGGAATTTTAAATACCTGGGAAACCTCTTGACACAAGACGGTGAGTGCGACACTGAAACCCGTAGGCGCATTGGGATTGCCAAAGACAAATCACAAAAGCTGGGCAGAGTACTGCGTTACAAAAGGATATCTTTGAAAACAAAGAAAAGTGTACTGAACTGTTACGTGACATCTGTCCTTTTTTACGGCAGCGAATGTTGGACGGTTTCCTCAAAGACGAAGAACAGACTCGAGGCGACAGAGATGTGTTTCTATAAAAGGATGCTAAAGATATCATGGACCGAGCGTGTGAGCAACGATGAGATCTAAAGAGGTTAAAAACAAGGAGGGTGCTTATAATTAACATCAGGAAGAGGCAGCTGAAGTTTCTGAGACTTAATGAGGAATGAAAACCTGGAGAATCTGATACTCACGGGTCGAATAGAAGGAAAGAGAGACAATAAATGTGACATTCGTGGCGGACTTAAGCAAGTGAATGACAGAACGTGGTCTAAGGTGGGGGGAAGTATATGGAAGGAACTTGTTGAAAGCTGCAAGAGATAGAAGGAGATAGAGAGCTATGATCGCATACGTCTAGAAAGGTCATGACACATAAAAAGAGAGAATATGACGAGCGATAGGCGTGTTTTTGTCCAGCTAGAGACGTGCATTCTCTTGCACAGATGAGACAATTTTTGGCATGTTTTGCAATAGTTCTTATATTAATATCTTAGTGAACTAATTTATGGTATTTTCGTCAATGTAAATAATATTTTTATACTCTGTACAAGTATAAGTCGCGCATTTGGTATTTTTTAGCCCTACCTTACTTAAAGAGATGCGACAAAATTCATTACTCGTTAGATCTAATTCTGTGCCAATATTCTTAGAGAAATTAATATGAAAACACTTACTATTCTCAGTCTCTCTCTCTCTCTCTCTCTCTCCCGCCCTGCGATCCCTTTCTCTCTCTTGCTCTCGATTTTCTTTACTGCCATTCTTCTGTTACGCTCCCTATTTCCCATCTGTTTCTTTCCCTCCTTACCTCTCATCGCACTGGCTCACTACTTTCCTCCCACGCCTATATTTTCCTTCTCTACCTCCTCATTTGCCCCATTCTTTCCTTACCTCCCCATCCGGTACTATATTCATCCATCTCCCCTCGTTTTCATTTCTGCCCATCCCATCCTATCCCTCTCCACATCGATCTTCTTGCAAAGACTTATCTCTCCTCGATATGTCCGCTTCTACATCTCCCAACTTTCCTCTACCCCTCTTCCTACATCTATCTCCACCTCTCTTATTCCTCGTCTATCTCTCCCCTCGATATATATATATATATATATATATATATATATATATATATATATATATATATATATATAAGCAGATCTTAAATGGCCTGCCATGTATAACTAGTTGTGGTCTGTGTACACCAGGAAGATCATTCTTTGTTTAGAAAAGCTCCACTATATTGTATGGTGCTGATTTCTGGTCTACATACACTGCAGGCTCTTTCTAAGAGATGATTATTTGCGATTGGTATCTTTGGCACTGAGGCCTTTTTTATGTATTTCCGAGATACTTTTTCTTAATATTTTATTTAGGTGTGTTTATTTTGTTGAACTGATGTGAAACTAGCGGGAAGAACACATCCATGAGCGAATTCGTGAGGTTGTTGGACTTGATAGATACCTGCAATGCATGTCGGAGTACTTATGTGGGAGCTGTATAAATTTTCGCAGTACTCCTCAAATAAATGTTCTTTCAAGCATAGACGTTTTGCTGAAGAATCACGGTGTACATGCATCAATCAATATCAAAGCATAGTAAAATAATAGTTACTAATCGCAGGACATACACAGCACAGATTAGACAAAACGCATTTGCCTCAGCAAGAAACATTTGTAATCGCTTACTGGCAGCTGTCTGTAGACAATTAAATCCTCTTCAAGTTGTTACGATATCCGAAAGTGATATCTCCTTGTGTTTCGAATCTAGTACTTGATAAAAAAATTCAGCACAGAACAATTTATTTTCAGACCTTAAAACTATTCAGCAGAACTCATAGTGACATTCTAGAGAACATGCACCCTGAAGACACGCACAATTACCATTATCTTCAAGATTACATCGTCCTCAGCCAATAATAACATAAGTTTCACCATTCACTAGAACTTGATCATAACTCTTTCCTGAATGAAATAATTGTACAGCGCGTTGTATTTCATGACGTACGGTAAGATCAGACAGTTATGTGCTATGCGCTTAGGCGATCATGTATCTTTTGATACAGGACTGACTAGCCAGATGTTTATTTCCGTAGTAGGTTGCCATTTCTTTGTGAGTTAGACTAGTTGCCATCCAAGGCTATAGAACCCAGTCTGTCCTGATATATGCCCATAGCTATGGTGGGGAGAAGAATATGGTTGGTACACTTAACAGCATCCAGTGATTACCTCTTACCTGGAACGTTCTGAATACCATCTTTTTTTCAGCGTCTCAACAATATTTTTATCAAATCGGTCGATATATATATATATATATATATATATATATATATATATATATATATATATAACGTTATTGCTGCAGGCATGAAAGTTTGGCTCCAGTCGATTGTTACAATATACTTCGAGGCTTATGTATATGCCACTGTATTTAATAGAATAAATATTTCGATAGAGATGGTGACTTCTTTGTGTGCTGATAACATTTGTACATGTCAGATTTTATTTGTATAGTAATACGTATGTTAGATTGGTAAATATATGCAACTTGTCAGGCAACTCTCAAATATAGAAAGCAGTAAAAGGAAAACCGAAAAGAAAACAAAATGAAGAGACGCCAATCCTCATAATTATCTGTATCTATTAAATAGATTACTGCAACGAACCTGTGACAGATTGGTAATTGGCCTATGCCAATTGATTCTCTTCACATCGCCAAATCCGTCATTAACCACTATTTCTGATTGACAATCTGTATGCTACTTAGGAAATGAAGAAAAAACAAAAAAACAAAAAATAAAATAAACGTTACGTTTAATTATTGCTTTGTTATTTCTCCAAATTCGAGTAAAATGGTTCATCGTGTTACTCGAACTTGTTGGATTTCACTATTTTCTCATGTGTCATAATTACTTGAATTATGCGTCATAATTATTTAAATTACGCACTTGGTTTTTATAGCATCATTTAAATAATTTAAATACATGAGGGAAGTCTGTATTTCTACAATAATCTTTGATTCTTCATTACTTTGTTTCTCATACCTTTATTTCATTGTGGTTTTCATATAGTATTATTTAAAATGTTCTTTCGTTTTTCGCTCTAGTTTAAATTCCTTTCATGCATTTTCAAACATTTTGCTTCACATACGAGTTTAAGTTGATCAGTTTCATAAATGTTGTTCTATATTTTTCTATTAATTTTCCCGGATATTCATTTCTTATCGTTTATATATATTGTGAGAGATATTTTCTATCGGAAATGTAATTGTAATATTTCGCAAATCTTATTTCTTGAATGATTCTTTGATTTGTTTTTTTACGGCTTTTCAACCAATACTGGTATTTTAAAGCAAGGAAATATTTGAATTTGTATGAACATTTTTTTGAGATAATAATGATTTACCGATAAAACAAGTACTAATTAACCTAACGATGGGGGCATAACAGGTGGATACATACCTTTCCCTTGGTTAATGGCGCGTAAGTGAATATAAAGAACCCATTTGTAATTGGAACTCGGCTTTCCGATTTTGAGCAAGCCGCTATCCATTACACCACTGGCACATCCAAGCTTCCAACCCCTGATATTTGCAAGCGGTCGCACATCTTGGTACTGGTAAGTTTTACTTATGGTTAGTCCATTATTTCCTAACAATTCAAAATAGTTTTGCTTGTAAAATTAATATCATTTTTGTACTGCATTATGATGATCAGTTTCTGCTAAACTACCAATTAAATAACTTCGATAATTCACGTAGAGAAATGTTTTGGATATGAAAACCGTAACTCTATATATGAAGTTTATTCCAATAATTTTTATCACGCAATGTGTTTTAAATGTAAAATATATATCAACACATTCAAATTATATTTTCCAATTTTTTTCGGTGTTTTATGGATTAATGTATCCAAAAAAAATATTGCTCAGAGTACACGAGGATCTCGTACGCTGAGCAATTTATTTGCCGAAATTTGAGTATGTTTTTGCGGTTCATTTCCATTTGGGTTTTGTTTTGCGATTACTTACTCGATGAGCGCAGGTTGCAGAAGCTTCTGGAGTATGCGGAAAACTGTATCTCTTACAGAGCTTATAAATGGAACCATTTCTACCCGGCACGCTTTTGCTCTTGCTTGTCCGAAACATTTTCCACTTCACCTAGTTTCATGGGCGAAATCGGAAATGCTAATTCCGGTCGAGGTGTCCTGTTGACTTCACTGAAATGCTACAAAATAACAGCTACTCGAGTGTGAGGAAAAAACATTTACAATGGGCATTTGAACATTCGACTCTCTTTCTACTAGAAACATTTGGTGGTAGAGAGTGTATGGGTCATTAAAAAAAAAATAAAAATAAATAAAAGTATCTAACGTTTCCTTCTTTTTCCAGAAGTTTGTCTACGTGAAATAAACACATTTGTTGAAATTATTAAACGTTCTCTTATGAATTCTATAACTTAATTTTCAAGAATTTATTTTTGTTCATATATATAATATTTTTTGTTTAAAAATATGATTCCTTCGCTACATAAGAGTGTCATGTTTCAAAAACGAGAGCCGAAACCATCCAAATAATTATTAAAATTAAGTTGAATTAAGGTGTTTAGTCCCGTTTCATCTTCAAGCGAAATTTTAGGAAGATTATTTGGATGGTTTCGGCTCTCGTTTTTGAAACATGAGAACTCTTATGTAGCGAATGAATCATATTTTTAAACAAAAAAATATTATAATATAAGCTCTACTTCTGCATGGAGCACTGTCTTCTTAAAAATAAAAACAAAAATACTAAGGAACTCCGGATTATGCACCCAACGTGTTCTATTCTTTTTTCTGCATACCTATATATATGTGTGTGTGTGTTTGTGTGTGTGTGTGTGTGTGTGTGTGTGTTTGTGTGTGTGTAGGTGATTGCATCAGTACGTTACACTTATTATTTGAATAATGATTTAGAATATATTACTCATTAAACTAATTTATTAAAAAGGGTTACATGAGATAATATTCAGAAGAGAAAGTGTCTGTTAAAAGTAAATGGGTGTTGTGATATATTTATAAATATTTCAACAGTTGAAGATCTCTTAGCACGCGGTGATAGTACCGTGGAAATCACAAACATATCTTGGTCAGAATCGGTTAATTTTTTTTTAGGGAGTGTGTTATTTTTGGTTAGTAAGCTTTTGTAAAATATTATGCACGAATATAATAGTGTTATTTGAAAAATGAATTTTACAGAAAATGGAAAGAAAAAAGACATTCATAAATAGAATTAGAAATAGGAATTTGAACTGTCTAGGGTCCATAATGAGAAAAGAGTGTTTAGAAATGTTCACGCTCACAGGACATGTTAGTGGCAAAAGTGTGAGAGGAAAGAAGAAAATAACCTACTTAATCAGCTAGTGTAAATAATTCACAGAAGAGGTATTAGGAGATATTGCAAAATGAAAAGTACTGTTAAGAGCTGCAAAGTGCAGGAAGTTGTGGAAAGCCATGACGGCCAAGGCACATAGAAAATGAAATACCCGTCTGAAGATACGAAGCCATATTTGATACTGTAGAAAAATGTGTGAAAATTATACTACCATTTTACCGATGTCTTCTGAGTGAAATTAATCATAATGAAACTGTTCGTAATCTCTCGACGATTGCGCACCGATAAGAAATCACAAATCGTTATGACCGAATGTCTGAGAATAATAGTCTTGTTCAACTGCTTATCACGCCAGATTATGCGCCTTTTCCAAAGAAAAGAAATATGACTAAGGTGGGCTCCGCCTAATAGCACTATGTCTCAGTGGATATAGAGGAAGCGCATGTTCTTGAGCAGGAATCTGCAACAGTGTATGGCTAGCTGACTTCACAAAATCTAGTCTTCTGAGGCTGACCGATGCCTACACATATTGGCATTATGTACAGAAAAAGGACCAGATATTATCGTTGAAAATGACTTCAGGATGATTAAGGACAATCTACCGATAACAAACTTTTTGTGTTATTCATTGTATTTCCTGTT